TGTAGGTATGATTTTAAAAGGGAGATAACTAATTAACAACATTTACATGCTGCAAAGAGGCTAAATTAGTCTAATAATTCAGAAATCATGCTTATAGCCTGTTCCCTGCATAGCTGTGCTGAATACAATCTGCACACTAAAGATAGCATGTTTGCAGTTAAAAATCTCCAGAGACTTTAGACCCATACATAAAGATACTTATTTCACTCTTTTCTGAGACACTGACCTGTATCCTTATTTAAAAATGAACACCACATCTTTAAGTTATTAAATCTTTGTTTTGATCTATTAGTATTCACCAAAGTGCCATTTTATACAACCCCGCACTGAATAGGCAAGGCTGGAGGTAACCATCTGCAGCTTTAGAGTCTGCGTTTGAATTGATGAAAAGAGCTTTGTGTTTTCATTGCCAAGTTTGATTCTTCCAGTCATTAGACATTCCCCTCAGATCGCATCAATGAAGCGGACTCTCTTACACCCATGTGTTAAATTCTCTTCTCCTCATGGTTTCCTTTGCCAGCTATACTCCAGAAAGACTACTGGGTCTTAGCCACATTCTTCTCACAGCTGTGTTAAAAAAGAGCATCAGAGCGTCTTCCCAAAATCCATATGTGTATCTGGTCAGTCCCCTGTCGGAGGGTCACCTCACATTGTGGTGTGATTATTCAAATATTCATTCTTGTTCTTGAACTGCACTGCTCGGATCATTCTGGGAAAGATTAGACCCTCCAGCCAGCACTGGAGAACGTCTTGGACACTGATGTGAAGCACACAGAGCTCCTGTACTCAGAAGGAAGATTAGTTTTACTTGCAGAAGAAGGGGACTCTAAACACTTAATAAATGCTTGTTCCTTGTTTCTTTCCAATTTTGTATTCTTTTCTACTGTGTCAAACACTGGTAAGAACTGTTTGGTTTTGTTGTGTCGTCGATCAACTAATTTCTCAGCATCAGTTAAGGAACAAAACTAAGTGAGCAACTATGAAAGCAGAGAAAATATGTTCAGAAATGCTGGAGGGAAATCCAGGGTTACTCAAAAAAAAGGGTGTGTTCCAGTAACAATGAAAGTTAGGTGGCAAAAAAATCACACCTTTAAGATGTAAAGCAAATGTTACTAAGGATAGTATTTATTTTATGAGAGATAGTAATTCCCTTTCATAAATCTATCTGCTTATTAAGAAGATTTCTTAGTTTTCTTTTGTGTTCAATCCACTGAAATATTTTATGCAAATCTGTAACCCTCCTGACATCCTCCTTAAAAAAAGAGAGGAGAGGAGAGGAGAGGAGAGGAGAGGAGACTTTGAAGTTAAGAATTTCTGTTTTACATCACTTATATACTTGCTTTGTTCATAATAAGAACTAAGTCAACAAAGTGCACAAGCAGCATTCACCATTTGTGTTTATTTTCCTACCTGTATAGTTTAGCATTGCACCATTACTTTGTGGATTTGTGTTTACTTTTAGAGGATTACATAGAAATTCTATATGTGCACCCTCCACTGCCACCTTACAGAGCTATGTGAGTGTGCAAGCGCAGCTGTGCCCACACGCAGAGAGCTACACTTCACTGAGCTAGAATCATTAAATTGTGAGAAGTAGAAGCCCTCAATAGACAAATTGCATTAAAATTCACTCCATCTGCAAACCTCTTGCAGAAAAATAGAACTTTTTCTGGAAAAAAACACATCAAAAGTGGCCTCAACCTTTACTGATAATTGGCTAATATTGATTTGGTATTACATTATAACCTCCTCTGATCCCACTGACATCAGTAGCCACTCCTCAATCCCAGAGGTTCCAGCAGGAAGGACAATTTTAAAATGTCTTTCTTCCTCTGCTGGCAGAGGCATTAATTAATTCACAGGCTTTTCCAGCCACCTTCTCCAGGTCAGCCCCATTTCCCTGCTGGGGCTGCACCAGCTGGCTCCTGGCTTCTCCGGCAGGACAAACTTGCAGGGTGTCTGTGGCGCTGAGCCAATGCTCCTGGTGAATTCTGCACTGCTGTCCTAATTCTTTGTTTGTAACCATGAAATAGTAACATTAATTAAATATAGAAAATTATGGTCATAGCCATTCTACAGAGTATAAGTTAAAAATAGTAAGTGTCATGCAGGTCATCATAATTTCAAATATGCGCTGTATTATGTGTGCACATACATGCTTTTTTTTTTTTACATACACCACACTGTTAAAATGTGTATTTACTTTATAATCTAGAATAGTGCTCTCTTGAAAGTCTAATGTGTAACTTGTTAATGTTTCAAAAATCAAAACAGATTCAAACAAATGCTGCTAAATCTGTGTGTTCACCCTCTGAGCATCAACATTTTGTGTTTCACACCACCATCCCTGCTAGGGCGGCGAATCATCTTCACGGGCAAAAGCACAGAGTCACAATTTATATCTCACACTGCAGCGAGCCCATGGGAGATTTCACCCTATTTCAGTATAAACAGAATTTTACTATATCCAAGTTCTCTATAAGCAGATTCCAATATATCCCCCTTCTGGTTCACAGCTGCTGTTTCATGCGGGATAGGATCCAGAAATTTTTTAGATGCTTTGTGTCCTGACGGAAAACACAGGACCACTATTCTGACTTGGATCTCACATTTAGAAAGCAACAATTGCAGGTGGGTACACAAATGGCTGACATGATGGCAACGCCGTGGAGAAATTACATCTCTATTTCAAGCTCTGTATATGATGCTGAATGCAAACACTGAAGTTTTTAAGAATATAAAAAAATTCTTCAGTGTTATCAGAGAACAGATTAGCAAAGGCATACTGAACACCAGTAAATCACATTGTATGAAGATACAAAGCACACTCTTTTTCAAAATTATTTTAATTATTCTAATTATATTATTTCTTAGTGAACCTTATAAATATTTTCCTCTTCTGATTTTTAACTGTGGCTACATTAAGATATTTTACTGAATAAAACTGAGAAGCTACTTTATATAACTGCTAAAAACAGTTCGATTTTACTTGAGCATTTAAAAGCAGTTAAGAAAAAAGATGTTTTGGAATGCTATTTAGGCTATGAATTGTAGTGTCACATTTTAAATTACAATAAGCATCCTCATAAGACAGTGCTAATAATTAATACTACTGTAATTAACCAAGAAGCCTTTCTGTTGGCAGATTTATAAATTGTCAGTTCCTTTTTGAAATGTAGAATATTCTACATCTCTGAAATAAAACGTTAAGCTAACAAATGAGTTCCTGCCTAATTGCCAAACACTGATTTGTATGAAGCGGTTGAGGTTACAAAGAAATTGGGAATTCTCAGCCCCGTTTCCCTGCTGATGAGTACGAACTGTCTGTGTAGCTCTCCCAGAGGTGTCAGAGGAATCTCTATAGTGTCACACAAGGGTTCTTAGCTCAAAGTAAACACACTTTCCACAAACTCAGCTGCTTAATCTGTTTGCAGGTTGAATTATAAGATGGGGGTGGATGACTCCGGGTGCTGGGAAGACGCACAGAGCATTTCCACAGTTTCTTGGTAAAAAGGGCATGCTATTGTCATCAAAAGACTTCACCCAATTGTTTAATTTTGCTATAGGCTCAGTGGTCTGATCTTAGCAATAATGAAAACTAACCTGACCAAAATTTTCCCAAGTAGCTGAGCATGTTAAATTGCGTAAATTCTTTTAACTATAGCAGTACATCACCACCACTTTAATTCTGGTTGTGGCTGCACTTCTACTCTTGCCACCCTGGTTACGTGGGATTAAAAGAGACCGTTTTGCTAAAAAAAAAAACCCAAACCCAAAAAACAATCTTCACTTAAATAGCTACAGTTAGTAAATGAGTATTAATAAAATGAAACAAAATCACAACTTTAAACAACATACAGAAAGGTTTAGCCACTATTCTCTTTAACATGCTGTAATTATTTTTCATAGTTTTATTTATATCAAGCAGGCACCTGCTGAAGTTTCTAGTAAATCTAAGTGTTCAGAAAAAAAGATGTGAATGATTCTCAACCAACCATTGGAGGTTTTAAAGAGATGACTGAAAATATGTGTTTTCATACATATGTAAAACTTAGCTATATTTTATGTAGTTACAAATAAATTAAAACCATAAAAATATAATGTCTTTATTTTTTTAAAAGGAGAACTCAACATGTATTTTTTTTTAAACAGGAAGAACTCTTCTTAGGTCCTTGCAATATATTTTAAGCCTATTTCTGGCTACTCTGGAAATATGCTGCACACATTAAAGTTGAAGTCAAATATGGTCTGACAGGCAAATTTGCATCAGTTCAACACTGACCACCTTGGAAGGGTGTGAGAGGGCTATTTTGCAGCTGGTGAAATAAAGCAGAGATGGGAAGTGCCAGACTGTGAAGTAGCTCCACATACACATTTGCCTATGTCCCAGCAATCAGACTTTCAAAGGCTTATGTGATAGTAATAGCAATCACGACAATAAGGACTATAATAGAGATAAACTTCAGGTTTTGGAGTTCAGTAACATTTTAACAGGGAATCTTATGATGGGAAGGAGAATACAATCCCCGTTCACTGACTCGGAGACTTCTTGTTGGTTTCAGTGAGCTTTTGAAGCCACCCCTAAACAACCCCATCAGCATTTATCATGGTATGAAACTTGCCAGATATATAACAGACCAAAAATGAGAACCTCAATATTCTACCATTCAATTATAAATGCAAGTACTCTGTTGCCATAGGATTACCGTTGGGTAAAGGACAGTGAAAACCATTAACTGGAGATGGAAACACTTTCTCTGTGCCTTGCAAAGTTTCCATAACAGTAAAGACAGGCACACTGACTTGCGTAATACTATAAAACTTAAAATGATCGGCTTCACACTGAGTAACGAGCTGAATGGCCAACAAAGAAAGAGTCATTTTAAAGGAACTTTTCTGACTATCACCACGCTTTCAATCATAGACAAAATAGAAGAAGAAACAACTTTTCATTAGCTTTTTTAACTGCAATTTTTCTTAAAAGAAGATGAGCGACTTACTTCTGAACTTTTTCATTGGCCTCACGTGAAGCTTCCAGGGCTTTCTGGAGCTTCATCTCTGTGTCCTTTTGCTCTGACCGAGCCTGCTGCAGCTGAGCTGCCAGATCTTCAACCTGGCCATAGGTAAGGGTTACAACACCCTCCCTGCCTTGCAGTCCACCTTCAGAAGTACCAAAAGTACAGTTAAGCTGGTCCTTCATATTCATTCCTTCAGACAGAGATTTGTATAATCTGGGAAAACAAAATCATACACGTTACTAAGTTTCAGTCTAAGGCTGAGCTGCAAGAATACTACACTCAGTTTAATTAATATTTTTAATATGACCATAGATGGATCCACATGCACTAATGCCAACACAAGTTTTATTTCAGAAGTGACAGAGAACAAAAAGAACATACCGTTTTCACAAGGCTATTCTAGAAATATGTAACAACTATCAGAATTCTAAAAAGTCAAAACCCCATTCAACAAAACCTTAAAAGTAGTACTTTTCAGCTGCAGCACCTTCCTGATCTTTGAGCTGCAGCAAAAAGCTGTTAGTGTGATTTACATTTACTTGAATTAAGCAGTGTAAGTTACTGCTGTGTTATTAACTCATGTTACACGGGACTTTTTTAGCAAGCAGACTTACCAACTACAGGGGGTTTATTTGTAAAATTGTAGTTTTTTCAATATAATGAAAGGAATAAAAATGCTACAATGCAAAAATTAATATCATTAAATCAGCAGGGTTACTTAGAAATATGAATGATTTGTACATGCTAACTAATTCTAAAGGTCCTTGGTCAACATTTTTGAGAGAAAATATTTCTTGATGTTGGTTTCAATAAGCTAGTAACACTTGTACTAGAATATACTGTGCCTTAAATAGCCTCTCTATAGTAGACAGAGATAGGTAGACCTGCCAACATCAGCAATTTTTCACAGGATGTTTCAATATCTATACTGCCTTCCACCACAATTTCTTGCAAGGTCCTTTCAACCCCCCTGTTCTGGCTTCACTGAGGCAGAGTAGACATGTTTACCATCTATTTTATGCTGGAGTGCCATGGATGGGTATTCAATCCATTGAGTTTTATAAATGATTTTTAGGTATATTCATAGAGATACCAAATGATAATGCACAAAAAAAAATACTCTGCCATTGTACAAAACAGAATGCAGTACTATGTGCTTTGTATTTGTGTGCCAGAAAGTTCTGGACAAATCAAGAGAGATTAAAAATTAAGAATTAAATTTAGTAGGGTCTTAACGCAATAGATTCATGAAGCTAAAAGAAATAAATATGCCTGGATCAGCTAATAATAGCTATTGGAGAACAAGCAAAAAGAAGAATATTAAACAGATAGATTACCTATAAATAATGAGATGAAACTGAAAAAAGGAGAATAAAGAATAAGATGGTGCAACAGGTGAAAAAAAAAAAACCTCAATGAAGACTGTTAACTATGGTCTTATTTCCCAAGAAATCAGTAGGTAGCCAGCTGATTGAGTTATTAAGCTGCAATGGTAGAAATCACATTAAGAGCTGATTACTAGGGGAGGAGCCTCATCAACAAGCTCTCTGTGGAATTAACAACAACTGCTTCCCATCTCTTCACAGCCAAAATTCATTGGTGAATTTTACAGCAGTTCAAAATGACACTGGTTGTAGAAGAAATTCATCGATGACATTTATAAAAAAAAGTGATGGCAACAGGATATCATAATGAGCAGTGTTTTTAGATAAACAATTGAAATAATTTCAAAACAGCTTAATGAACGTCAGAAGCTGTTGCTGTATTGAGGGATATTACTTGAGAGCATCCCTGTGACTGATGACCATGCAAATATTAAACATTATTTCAGTGTGGATTTCTAGTAGCAGTGCAGACTGATTTTATACTCCAGACATACTCTGCATTACAGCTGCTAGTGTGCAACAGCATATTTTCTTCCTTTTCAGTTTATTAAGTTGTTTGTATGGAAAACACCCTTCATTTCAACAGCCCATAGAGGAAAATAATATACAAACTAAAATACAATATACATGTATATTGTATTTTACATATATTGTATATATGACAAGCAAAATGTGAATGAACTAATAGAAATCCAGAAGCTAAAAGGTCAGAGTGTTGATATGTCATTACACCTACTACCTGCAGTTGTCTGAAAATAATGTGAAGAATCTTTTCAATTAAATGAAGACATATTGAAAATATAAATATTTATAAAGGGACATTAAAATACCCAGAACAGGCTCATTAAAACTAAAATTACTTCAACAGTTGCACATAAAATTTACTGACTGAGGTTCCACTATGGTTGAGCATCGATCACCACGGAAAAATACAAAGGTATGTAAATAATGCTGAAAACAGGTTACTGAAATACCATTGCTGCCTGTTTCTTAAACACCTGGCACTAGATTAAGAGAAAAAAAAAGACAGATGAGAAGCTAAACTGTTCAGTGAATATATGATGTCCCTGATTAAAAAAAAAAAGAAAAGAAAAAGAGGATAGTCTAAATATTCTAACTTGTTCACAGCAGCTAAAAAGGTTTTTTTTTCCCAGAACATATTAAAATGCAGTCATTTATTTAGATTCTAAAATACTAGCCCTGTGTGGCTATAACTGGGCTCCTTCTCAGTCTGGCCATGAAAAATACAGTATGTAATACACCACTACATGTTTCATCTCATAATGATTTCATCTGAGTGATCAATAGATTCTGACATGTATATATTTTTTAGCCAGTATGATTCCTCCAGATAAAGGCACCGTGGTTCACAGATTTTTTTTAAACTTGGTTGTTTTTATTTTTTTTGAAAGTATGCAATTGCCAGATTTCCATCAATGTGTGCTTTGCTAAAACACTTTTATTTAGTCCCTTTTGATACTTATTAATTTGAAATTCCTTCATTAATGTCTTGAAGATTATAAAAGAATCTTGATGCTATAAATCAAAAATAAATGGGAGTTCTTTGCCTGAAGAAGGCTGATGGAAGCATTCAAACAGTTCCTTCATTTAAGAAATTCACATGTCCTTTATAGTAAGCCTTTTGCTTTACTATGGCAGCACGGTCCTTTTCTTGCTCCAGCTTAGTTCTGAGAGCTTCAAGGGCCCACCTGAACTGTGTCCAGGCAGAAGAAAAAGTGACATGTGATGATGTCACTTATGCAACTCCTGCAAAGATAGCAAGAGGTTTCCTCAGACCCCAAAGTCAGAGCAATTTCAAGCCTGCTAAAAAATTTCACCAGTTGTAACTGCTCCCAGAGGGACTTTACTTTGGCTGAAAATCAACTGCATGAAGTGCTGCTCTTATAACACTTCACTCCTTGCCAGGCATACTTTTGCTGCAAGGTGAGAAATGATTTTCCACCTGAAGCAACTACCAAATAACATAGAGAAACCTTCCACCTAGAGAAAGAAAAAAATATCCAGCAAAAAGCAAACATTCCCTATCCATCCCTTCCCTCCTCCCCCACCCCAGTGATAAACATAACCAAAGGCATGTAGGTCTGACCTTGGTTTTCACCACAAATGTTTCTGACACTCAAGTTCTGGAGACCTCTCAGACCTCAGCCTGCACTCAGGATGGCTTTGAAGAGGGTCCTCTCATACCGCTAGTGTACTCAAGGGCCAGGAAGCATTGATACCTTGAAAATACTACCTCAAAGGTGCTCTTAGGAAAAATTGCAATAAGATGATATTAAAAAAAAGCCCATAAGCCCTAGAAGGACTTTGACATTTTGCTGTAAAGCAGAGGATATAAAATGGTCAAGTTTGCATTACATGTGAGTCAGGAGCCTGACAGCTGGTAGACTGGTAACTAGATGGCATTGCCCTACCATAGACAAATATTTTACTAGCCTTCCTTCTTCTGCAATTACAGGAGTTAAGAGAACTCTGTTTTCTCTTCAGCACAACCACCCAAAGATCTCTCACCAATCTAACTGAAAACAGCAGCTGTGTTAGACTCCGTGGCGCAGAGGCCACAGACCATGCCATAACAGTCGTGCACGTTGTGCATAATGCAGAGCATGCTCTTTGCAGCCCCACAGCCCATCACAGTGTAGGTCTCTCGTGTGGTGTACCCATGCATTCTCAGTCTAGGATGAGCTCAGGTATCCTCTTTATTTCATATTCTCTCACCAAACCCAATGATAAGCACTTGTTGAACAGAAACCACCATTGATTTTCTTCTCTGTGGTGGTTGCTGATATAACCTCAGGATTTTACAGGGTAACATTTTGACAGACTAGCGCTGACCATGCATGTCCATACTGTCCAAACTCAATTACATGTGAATATTGATCTATAGTGAGCAGTAGGTTGAGTTTCAGCCTTCTCTCCTGAAATGAACTCAAGAAACCTGTAACCTGTACAAGGGTCCAAACAGATGATTCAAGTACAGGTTCATTATCTACAGTGAAAGCTTGAACTGGCTATCATCTGTCTTAGAACTTCCATTTTCCAAAAAATACAAATTAAAGGCCTCTTGCAAACACATTTTTGTCCTTGGGCATCAGCCTCCTCATCTTTAAAAAGAGTAGTCATAATAATACCTTTGCAAGGTGCTCTGAGCTTCACTACCGAAAGGATACCAATCGCCATTGAAAGAGCTTAATTAGATGCAGCACAGTCTGATTTTAGGACAAAATTAAGCCCAGATGGTCTTCTGATGACTCCAAGCAACAAACAATTTCTTTTGGGTCTCATTTGCACTCCCCAGGACCACTGCAGTACCCATGCTATTCTCCTGTGACTATCTTGGGAGAGGTAGTAAGGACATGGGACGTCTGAGCCTTTCTTTAAGTTGAAGGACTGCTGAGACATGCACTCATCAAGAAATAATCAGAAACCATACTTCCATTACAAAACCTTCATTTACAGAGTTGCACAGCAATCAAACGTTCCCAGTTCACTTCATGCAGCCACTGGGTAAATTGCCCAGATAGCACAGCCTCCCGTGACAGTGACACGCTCACGACATCCAGCACCACCCATCATTCCTCACATTCACCACACCCTCAAACGGTCCAGGATCCCCACAAAAATAGTTTCTGGACTAATAATGTTTGGTTGAAACAGAGCAAAACATACATGATACTGATGAGCAGAAGGAAGCATTTTTGAGATTTTTCCAGCTGTAGTACCATCCTCTTCAGCTAGATCCACAGATCCACAGTTAACAGCTTGTAGCTAAAAAATGCACCTGGATTTCCTGAGCACACAATGCACCTC